AACAATCAACGGCACGAAGCTTTTAATTTTCAGTACGATACTCGAGAACGATTACAACAGACAGCACGCATATATTCCCCCAACAAAATTTCAAAGTCAGAAATGCATTAAACGTTCTTAATAAAAACAATTAACAACTTTGAAAAACTCGAAAGGCTGACTTTTAAATGAAGCGAAAGAATGTCGGTCGTGGAAGCAACCACCGCATAAGTGCCTAAAAAGGATGTTCAAAGCAGACTTGAAAAATGAATAACAGAAGATAATCAAAATTCAAGTGCAAAAGCGAAAAAAAAGAAACCTAGGTTTTCGATTATTGAGAACAGCCTCGTTTAAACCACTACACTCGGCTTCCTCCTGAAAGCCAGAGAGAACACTTGTAGTCTTACTCAAACTTTGGCGGTCTTTCCTTTCCATTTCGGCAGTACTGTCACGGAATTGATCTTTAACTCGATCCTGCAGCACCACCATTAATATTCATTCAGAAATAAAAAACTTAAGGAAAACGCTCAACCCAAAAATAACTAGATGTAGGAAAGAAAACAATACTAATTAAGACCTGACAGCATCCTTCACTTGAAATACTATCAGAAACGATGGCGACACCTCCAACAGAAATATCCAACCGTTGGTTCTCGCAACGACCATTAATTACTGGCAATACATTACCCTTATCAGTAAACTCGTTGTTACTTCTGTGCAGTCTTACTGATGACAGGTCAGCTACCAATGGATAACCGTTTTCTGGTTCTTCCAGCTCCCCATCAAAGCTGGGAGATTTCTCATCCTAATTACTAACTAGGTTAGCAGTAAAAAAAAATTAAAAAACTGCTTTTACAGAATCATGTTTAAAACATTATTAAGTTTTCAAAAAATCAGTTAAGCTAATTCATTCACTGATTTATGAAGTAGACCAAAAAAAGATACAGGTATGGAAAACTATTACTTTTACAGCTAGTCTGCACATTAAAATGTTAATAAACAAGCCCTAGTCAAGAAAAAAACAGTGGTTTCACCTTAGCTCCGGAAAATCCAGTATCAAACACAGAGTTCTGCCTTGAAATGCTCGCAACCAGTTGATGTGAACGATGTCTACCGGACAAATCAGGAAAGCCATTAGCTTCGTCGCAGCAGGATAAAGGTTCAGAACAACGAGTACCTGAAAGTTAAAAAGCGAAAACTTCAAAAACGGCAAAACAAATAGTGTTCTTGTGAACTTTGTCTCTTTACATTGACACTTTGATGACTGCAAGAAGTTTGCTTGCACAGTGGCCGAATCTGAAGCGAAGTCTCCGCTCACACTAGCACTTCTACCAGTCCTTTGACGACTTTTATTCAAAAGTTTGGAGTCATCCTTTGCCTCTGCCATTCCCAAATCACAAAAGTCTCATCCTCTAAAACGAAGGATAAAATGCAACAGAAACGCAACAATCCACCACAATATACCAACACTTTGGTTTATTTTAACGCGATATTTTAACGAATATACAAAGTCTCTATCCCGATACAGCATGATTCTCACAGCACTAATTAATCAACTGCAATATGAGCCAAATCCCTCTCCACTTCTTCATTTAAAAGTTACAAAAATTACAGTAAACGACTTTTTCGAATATTCGGTTACCATTCTAACTTGAAGCGCCATCATGGAGTCAGCTTCCTTCTTAGTACCAGTTAGCAAAACAACCTTTCACTTAGTTTTTTATTAATTCTTACATATTCAGTAACTATTTATTAGAATTCCTAAACACATCGTTCAAGCTTAATTCTTAGCTAAAGGAAAGTAAGCAAGCAAATTATTAGACGAAATCTTCTGAAATTATGCTCAAGTAAATCCAGCTGACAAAAAATTAGTTGATCTTTTCTATATTTTTGTTCCTAGCGCATTTTAATATATTAAGATCTAAGTTTTGACAGAGAAAAAAAAAACATAGTGCTGATGATTGAATCAAAATACGTTAATATAGCATAAATAACCAAAACAAAAAAAGGAAGAAAAAAAGGAGAGTTGAAGAAATAATAACTGTATTAAAATTGTATAAAAAAGACAGAAAATCAACGCTTTTCCGGTATCAAACAAACCAGAAAAAATACTTTCATATATGTAAAACTAAACAAAAAAAGAAAAAGAAAGCACATACCAAGTTTGTTAACCTCATTAACGTTTTGCCATTAACCACGTAATCGCCTATCGATTCGTCTGTATTTGTTATTTCTGAGCAAACATAGTTGGCATACAATTTAACTGAAATAAAGCAAAATTAATACTGGAGAAGAAGAGGAAAAAAAATAAGCATACAAATGTATAAAAATACAAATAAAAGTAAAATGTAGAAATTCAAAATCAAAAAAGAAAAAAAAAATACTGCTCCTCAACCTCAACAGAATTATACTTAACTTTTTAAAGTTATTATATATGACATAAAAATGAAACAAATTTTTTAGTAAACATTTCTGCAGAATATAATATGCAGATGAAATCGAGTAATGTTGTATACTTAGTCTAAAAAAGCTCACAAACAAGATAAGGCAAAACAGAAAAAAAAAAGAAATATGAACGAATAAAAAACAAAAATAAGTACGAATAAAAATAAGCAGTATCCAAACAAAACCCGTATTGTTATTTCAGAAAAATTATATATACTCTATTGGTAGGTATCTATCATTAATATGTATAATGGCACAAATGACGACCATACAGTCAGACATCATCCACGAATACAGATGTTTCATTATACAACAAAACCCGTTGTTCATCCATAAGTGATCAGAAGTAATGAAAAACCAAATGGAGTGGGGCAAAAAAAAAAAAAGAAAAACATGGTGGCAATCAACAGCCACGACATAAATGTCCAAAATATTGAAAATTGAGATGTTACATATACAGTTACAGTTACAGACAGCTGTATTCCATCTGTTCGGCTCCGTATCCCAGTCATTATTGATATATCAGAATTTAAGCTTTCTTCTCTCCTATATTATTATAAACTGTCGTTTTTTCTTTTCTATCTCAACAACAATACCGTCCAGTAGAATTGTACCCATCCAGGAAATTAAAAAAATAACATTTTTGTTCCTCTGAATTATGAATTCATCTTTCTTTTTTTATTTCTGCTTCTTTTAATAATGTATCCTAACAACGCATCAAACATAATAACAAATAATATAGAGCAATTTTTGATGCAATTACATTGAAATAAAGAAGAGCAGAAATCAATGAACGGATTTAATATGATCATTATAACCTGCTTTTTCTATTGTTTATAGCCAGAAAATAAAAAAACTAACCTTAAAAAGACAAACGGGAAAAAAAAGCAAAAAAAAAAAAATGAATGAAGAGGCGAAAAAAAGAAATAGCTAAAATGATAATTAGTGGAGTAATAGTATATGGCAAAAGCGTTGGCTTTAAAACAAAAAAAGTGCTTCTATGCACTTTAACGGAAATCAACTGCTCCGAAATGTTTCCGCGTTCAAACTATGGGCACCATTACATCACACAGCACTATCGTCGCCAACAGCACCAACAACAACGGCAACAGCAGCAGCAGTAGCAGCAATAGCAGTGGCAGTGCTTTGCCTAGACGAACAGATGAACTAAAAAAAAAAAAAACAAGCGAATATTCAGTGATTCATACACGATTTCTACTAATGTTGATGTGTTACATTTGCCTATCCTGTACGATGATTTTACATTATCACCTAAATAGTGTACGCATCTAAACCGACTAATATGGAACAGTAAAACTGTTGTGCTGTTCTGTTGCTCATCCAATATTGTTTCATGGGTATAACCGATACTGTTTCATAAGTACAACCACTTTATACAATATATTCTTTAACGGAAATCTGAGCTCTATGTTTGTGTTTTGTTGAATTACTATGGATCCTGTAGTCCAAAATTTATTCAATTTAGAGACGACAAAATAAACTGCTGGGAAACCAAACAAACTAATGCTGGTGAAGTATCGATTTGCCAGCAGTGGAACTTTACAATCAATGCTCGTTGCCCTATTAATTATAAGAATTTGTAGAAGTGCAGCAAAGTATACAGCTACAGCAAAAAGTTGAAACACCGTTTTTCCTTGTTCTTTTTTTTTTTTTGACATTTGCTTTTTGTAACATAGATTTGTGGTGCCAAATATTTTATTTGATTTAGGATTCAAAAATATACCGTTGATATCGATTACTCTAAACTCAATAAGTATAGTAACAACCTGGAAAGACCGATTTGTACAACTGTATGTCGGCGTATAAAAAAAAGTATCATTAGTTACAGCGAGTAGAACTGATTTTCTGAAATACTGTCGTTATCTGGTGTTCAATTTAGATAATATTCCAGCGTCATTCCCAATGATATCATCTGTCAATCAACTAAATATCATATGATATATGTAAAGTTAATCGAAAACAACTGTGCAATAAACATATTTGTATACGGAGACTATGTAGGCGATTAGTTGCTGCCGATACCCAATGTATCTGTACAGTTGCCATGGATATGACATTGAAACTGTGTTGAAATTATTTCCAAAAAGAAAAAAAGAAGAAACGACGAAAAAAAGAGTCCTCTCAGTTTCATTTTGCATTTCAACTTAAAACTATCAAACTGTTTCATTAAGAAAAAAAAAGTCTGCCAGAAAAAATGAGAACGATTGTTTGAAATATTCAAACTTTTTGGTTTGTTTTTCTTTTTTTATGCTCTTTCAAATTAAAATTCTCGATTGATATGCAAAAAAGTTGGCTAGACCAAAAATACTTTCAATTTCCTTGCTCTGCAAAGTCCATATATATAGGAAAAGCATTGATATTAATGATAAAATGTTTTGGTTTTGGTTAAATGCAAAAGAAGATTTTTGAGTCTCATTATCAGTCTCTAAGGAAAATCTTACACAGTCAGTGGAATCGGTGTAAAACATGAAACTGTGCAAAGAATGTCTGATAAAGGTGGAAG